ACTGGGAGGTGGGGGAGAAGGTAGGATAGTCATCTTGCTTTCTTGCAGCTCCCGGGCTGAGCAGCAAGGCGTGCCGGCTACCTCGTAGGTCTTGTGAAAACGCGAATAATCCACTTTGTAGTGGTTCTTCTCCTCAAACACAACTGGTTCAAAACGATGACCCCAAAGGATTTCACTAGCGAGGTAAGAGCTTCGTGCCTGTGTGGTCATGGCTGTGGCTTCCACCATCCCCTCCAGGATAACAACAATCTCAAAGTTCTCTGTCTCCAGCTCCTCCTTGCCAATCCCATAGAGCGGGCTCTCCTCATCAATCTCATGAACAATAATAATGGGTGAGACCAAAAATATACGATCGAGGCCCACGTCGTAGCCCACATTTAGGTCCCGCTGGTCCAGGGGGAGGTATTCCCCTTCCTCTGTCATGTAGGGCTTGATGAGCTGGGCTCGGACATGGGCCTCCACGATGTGGCTCCTCCTCAGGTTGCCCACCCGCCACATGAGGCACAGTTTGCCATCCCGCACGGAGATGACCGCATGGTGACTGAAGAGGAGGGTCTGGGCCCGCTTCTTGGGCCTTGCCATCTTGGCCATGATAGTGCCAATCATGAAGGAGTCAATAACGCAGCCCACGATGGACTGGACCACAACCGCCATGATAGCCAGCGGGCACTCCTCAGTCACGCAGCGGAAGCCGTACCCAATGGTTGTCTGTGTCTCCACTGAGAAAAGAAAAGCCCCTAGGAAGCTGTTCACGTGCATGATGCAGGGCTTGAGGAGAGAGGGACCACCTCCCACCACCGGTGCATTGAGGTCACCGTGGAAGAAGGCGATGCACCAGAAGAGGAAGCCAAAAAAGAGCCAGGAGACTAGGAAGGCGGCGGAGAAGATCATAAGCATGTACCGCCAGCGCGTGTCCACACAGGTGGTGAAGATGTCGGCCATGTAGCGCTGAGACTTGTTGCTCAGGTTAGCAAAGTAGACATTGCACTGGCCGTTCTTCTTCACAAAACGGTTGCGGTGCTTCCGCCGGGGGGCATGGCCCTTCCCATTCCGGCTGTGCCCGTTCATGCTGCCCAGCGCGGAGACCTTGTGTCCATCCTCTTCGGTCGAGACGATGCTGTACCTGGAAGAGAAGAAACAGGCATTTCCAGCAGAAATACGTAAAGAATAACAGCAACCACTGAGGCAGCAAGGGCAGGAGACACACGGGTGGCTCACAGGGCTATGGTACCGTGCTATTGAATATCACAACAGCACGTTTCCCTGGTTATTGCACCGTGGTGCCACCCTGACCGAATTGGTGGAGCTCAGCTGCAATATTTGCCGAGTCTTGCTGCAAGGAGGTTGTATCTAGCAAAGTCCTGACAGTGCAGCAAAGCAGGAGATGCCTGTAGTGCTGTGCTACCTTCCAGCCTTTCTGGTGAGGAGGGATCCAAGGCTTCGAAACCTGACAGCAGCTGGGACAGCCGGGAAGCCGGGGAGCAAGCACCCGCAGCCTGGCCACGTTTTGGCCCTGACATTATATAAGGCTGGGAGTTTCTATTTTCTGCTCCGCTCTCCTCACTGATTTCATGGTGCGTTGGTGACAATGTTTATACACTTCCTGCACTCAGGACAATTCTGTTGCCACAGCAACGTGCGTGGCTCCCAGCATCCCGCATCCGAAGCCAAAGGTGTAATTTGGAGATCAACAGCCAAAGTGCTGGCAGTTTCCCCGGCAGAAGCCCCCACACACACTTTCTGGGAGACGTTTGCCCCTCCGGCTCCCCTCCCTCACAGGCGGCACTGCCACTGCCCCTCACGTGCTGCTGGGACAGTTGCAGCTATTCCTTAAAGATGTGATGGCAGAAGATGCTCTGACCACTGAGGAAATCAAGCGAGTGCACAGACCCACCAAGACCACTCTTGCCCTCGTGACCACCCAGGACCCCTCAGGCTGGCGGTGTCTCCCTCCCACCCCACAGTGTTGACATGTCAGCTGGAGCCCTCCAGCACGGGCTTTGTGACCCCCATCCTCGCCTCACGGCAAGGGAAGCACTGGTGGCTGGAGTTGTGATTCCCGAGGACACGGGGCTTACGCAGCACTGCTGGAATCTGTAATTTCTGGTCCAGCACCATGCAGCGCTTCGCTTCTCCTCCATAGTACTCCAAGCACTGCCCCCAAGTATGGCATGTTTTGGATCGGGGAAGGAGAGAGGAGCCGTACCTTGGAGCAGGAAAGACCCTGGCAGGTGATCTGAGAAGAATATACCGAAAGGCAGGCTGAAGGTAGGGCCTGAGGGGCCAGATGAGGAGGACCAGGCCACCCGGGACAGCAGCAGTCCTTGAGCGGAGGGTTACTCACCGGTTGACTCGGACGCTGCCCATGGCTCGCTGTATCATCAGGTGTCAGGGGGCCGCGGGAGCTGGGAGGACACAGGATCTCACGCAGCGGCACTCACATGGGACTGGGGAGGCTCTGGGTTTCACCTCTGGCGAGCTGGGACTCGCGCTGCCATTGCGATTGCTCCTGGGCACGCACCTTGCGGAGAAGGACAAAGCAAAACCCGGTCAGAGCCTCCCCTGACAGCACCTGTCCCAGTCCCAGAGCTGGGGACGCAGGGGTCCTTTTGCTCAGCAGGGGTCTGGAGGTGTCCGTGGGGCATCGCGCTGCAGCCTGGCTCGGGCAGGTGAGGAGCTGATGGACGCAGACTGGTTTTCACGGTCCGCAGCCCCCGTGTTCCCCAGCATCTACTGCCAGGAGAGGTGCAGAGCCGGCCGGTCACCGCTCTCCAGATCAAGGGCACAATGGTTGAGCAGCTTGCAGGGCCCTTGCTCTGAGCCATTATATTAATATCATAGATTACACTAGGACGAGAGCTCAGGCAGGCTAAATACCTCGCACACAAGGACTAATAAAGCACGGACATGCATGGCAGCCCTCAGGGATCCCCATCAGCCCAGCCTCACCCAGAGGGGATTGAATTCCAGGGGGTGCAGAACATCCCCCCGTTTCAAAGAGGAGAAGAAAAGCAATGGGTAGAGCCAAAATGGGGAACCGATGGAAAGGAAGGGCTTAGGGGTAGCCGAGGAGAAGCTGGTTAGAGCAAACAGACCTTGCGACGTGCCCTGTGTACAGCATCCAAGGAGCGGCTCAGCAGCAGAGCCCCGGGGAGGATGTCCAGCAGACGTTACGGCCTGACCCGGTCCTCCCCGAACTGAAGAAGAGGGAAAGTGAAGACTCAAGAGCTGACCTATCCCGCCTGCCCAGAGCTGCTGGGAAATGAAATGCAGTGAAGGGGGTAATGACTCACAGATTAGGAGGGGCTTTGTACACCCATGCTAATCCTGCACTGTAACCTTTGGATTACAGCAGCCGGTGTGGAGCGCAGGACACAGACAGAGCCAGCCAGCTTGCTTCCTCCCAGCCTCACCGATGAGCAACCAGTGGTCGCCATATCTGGGACAAATCCAAGGATTCTGGGGTCAAATCCAAGGTTTATTGCTGCTCACAAGTGGTCACGAACAGACAGGAGAAAGGAACAGCAAGTGACGCTGTCTGGGATGGAAAAGCTGGTGAGAACCATCCTTGTCTCATCATCGGTGTTGCAGAATGGGGCTTCGTGTGGCTAAGGGTGACCACCAGCTTTCCCCAGTTAGGAGCACAGACTAGAAAGCAGCAAGTAAGGAGCTCCAGACATCACCTCTGATGTGCAAGCACTGCTGTTGTCATATCTGGGATGAAGATTAGTCAGCAATCTCTCCTCCAGAGACCAAGGTTACTGAGGCAGTTTAAGCTTTATGGCAACACAAACATGGTTGTCTAGACCATCGATATTATGGGACAAGGAGAAGACAGCAACCTCGTAGTCCACAACTCACCATATAGAGGTAAAACTGAACAGCTTCCCAAAAATTCCCGTCAGGAAAAAGCACTTTGGCACTGAACTCTGCCAGCACCCACCCCCTCATCGCCCTACAGCATCCAAGTCTTTAAGGAGGGTTGGTTTGGCAAGCTACAGGAAATTTTGTTGTGCAGCTGAGTAAACCTACAGCAGAAACTGGGGCCAGTAATCTAAATTAATCAGAAATGTTGAGGGATGACCAGGTGATGAAGAAAGGTCACTGCATGCCCACAGATGGTCCTGCTAAGGTAAAGCTAAGAAGTATCTTCAGTGATCACACGGTGAGTTTGGACTGCAGGGTCCCACAGGTCTTTAGGAGGTGACAAAGGCAGGTAGTTTAGGTATACCCCTCTATGCCAGCTCCAGCCAGGAGAGGAAGAGCATCCTCTCCAACCGGCACCTTCCTTAGCCAGCCCGGATAAGCCAAGCTCATCCTTAGCCAGCACGGACACTGATACTGGCGGAAAGGCACTGCCACAGCTCGCACATAGGGATACTTCACAACTTCCTCAAGGTTTCTGACCACCACCTTTCCCCAGCTCCAGGAAGAGGTGCACGATTTCTAGAGACTTTGGATTTCTGGCCCAGGCGGTGGCCAGCTCCAAAAGAAGAGGAAGGATGACCTAAAGAGCTCCTACTCACTGAAACCACGTGCAGCAGCACCCAGATCTCTGCTCCTCACCTTCCCACCTCATCGAGAAGGGACAAAGGAAGCAGATGAATTGCTAATCTCCAATTCTGGCTATGGGAAGAGATGGGCACGCTGTTGAAGAGCACTGCATCCCGTGCTGCTGTGCTTCCTCCTGGCTCCCACACGGGAGCTCAAGTCAGCCGGAGCTGTGGCACAGCCTCTTGCACAGAGCCCACCACAGCTGGACCTTGTAGCTCAGAGCCTGGGAAACGTTTGCTGCTGGGTCTGCAGTGCCACAACAGAGCATCAGCGGCTAAAACTACATCACTACCTGCGATTTGTACTTAATCACAAGAAAAGTACTTCCATGAAGAATAACACACACATTCAAGCACGTGACAGCAAATGGTTTTAGTATAGGCTGTAGTGGGAGACCTGCGGTCTCGGTCCATACACTCATCCGTAGGACCCACACAGAATCGAATTCATAGCTCTTTTTCTGCTTCAACTTCGGAAATTTTGCCGGTAGATTTAAGGACCTCAGCAACAATATGCAGCGACTCCGCCCCAGAGGTGAGCTGTTTGATGGACCAGTTTGTGCCTGTTATTATCTTGTGGAGGCTCTGCAAGGAGAAGTCTATGATGTGCTTCACCGCCCCAAGGTCGGTCGTTTGGCCCGCTCTCAGGTTTTCGTTCTCCACCTTGGAGCTCTCCAGCTCTCCCTGGAGAATAAAGATCTCCTGCTTCAGCTTCTCCACGTTGCTTTCTGCCTCCAGAGCCCGCTGGGTCATGACGTGGAGACTCCACTCAGTGCGCTGGACAAATGACTGTAGCACTTGGGCTTCCCTCTCTGCTTTGGCCAGGCTGACCTTCAGCTGCCTCTCCAGCCTCTGCACTGTGCACGCCTGGCTCTCCAAGGAGCTCTGCATGCTCCTGACCACCTTCCTGAGCACGGCGTTCTCCTCCTTGAGCATGTCATGGGTCAGCTGCAGGGACGGGAACTCCCTGTCCCAGATGGTCTCCTCGTGCAGCATGTGGGGTTCTGCTCCCCTGGTGCGCTCTGGGTACCCCAGATAGGGGTCACTGGCATGGGCCCATGGGCCAAAGACATCCATCCCCAACTGCTTGCCCACGCTACCCTGGAAAGAACCGTAGGAGCCACACGGTGCCATACTGGCCATTCGGAGAACATGCGACCTTTGATGCACAGGAAGGTGATGGGTCCAGCTGTGGTCCTCATCTTCGGACAAGCTGCCAGGCACTTCTGTGTCTTTGTAAAATGGTTCCTGAAACTCCTGAGCATCCTCCTCAAGCTCTAGTGCATGCTTGGCCAACGTCTCGGCATATATTCTATTTTTCACTCCTTCGTCTTTCACCATGTAAGAGTGCCTGGGATTTAGGGAAAATGGGATGGGTTCTCCCAGATCCTCCACCTGACTGCCACCCGAGCTGTCATAGCTCTTGCACTGGCGTGGAGGACGTGCGGAGTGGCAGGGGTATCTGAATTCATCATCGTTGTCATCATCATCATCATCTTCCAAGCCTTCAGATTCTGGGCAGACCCTCTCCATTGTCCCAGAGGTCCCAAGCAGCCATGACATTTTTCAGGACCCTTTGGGCTGCAGCGAGCAGGAGAATCCAAATTAAGCTCCTGGAGCTGGGGTCACACAGGCAGGTGACACTGACAAGCAGTGTGCCAACTTCTGCAGCCTCGGCAACGCTTTTGGGGGAAGAGGCAATCACCGAAATCCCACCATTTAGATCATCAGGGTGTTCAGGAGGGAGCAGAGAGGAGAACCAGGCACCTCTGTGTCTTTGCTGTGGGGAAACCAGGAATCACCAAGGTCTGTGATGTCATCATGTGACTTCACTGCCTGCTGTGAGGTCATGACCAGAGGGGGAGAAGAACCGATCAACCGCAAAAGTGCTTTTTTGGTAGCAGGAGGATAAGCTGGACCCTCACAGCTGCAGACCCGACCCCAGGTCGGGGATGCTGCTGGTGGGCAGAGAGGAGCTCATGAAGCCACCTGAGACCTCCGGGGGGGGGACGACAGGGACCAGCCGGCCCTGGGCAGGCCGTGTGGGGCAGAGGGGACAACCCTGCCCCAAGGGCTACAGAGACATCTCCAGCAGCAAGATCAAGCCGCTGGCATTTTAGTGCCGGGGCTCACCCTGGGCAGAGGCAGGAGCCATCACCGGCGCTTTGGCCAGAGGCATCGCCCTGAGCCAGCCAGCCGGCGAGGGGTCCGCGCCGCGGTGCTGCCGATCTGATTCATCCCCTGCTGCCAGCTGGCGCAGGAAAGCGTTAGTAATACCGGGCGCCACAAACTCAGAGCAGCACGAGCCAGGAGACGAACGAAAATAAACCCACTTACCACTTCCACCCCAACACACCCCCACAGCGCACGGTGCCGCCATGGGAAAGACAGACAGGCAGGCGAGAAGCCCTGGGCTGGGGACTGCCATCGCGTTGGGCCGGCGTTCACGTTAGCCCCTCCAGAGATGCTGCGCTGGGAGGTGATGTGGCCACTGTCCCTCCTCAGCAGCTGGTGGTCCAGGGTCACCACTGACATCCCTGCCCTGCAAAATGGATGCTGCCAGCTCAGCAAGGCCAGGGGCCGTACCAGGAACCCAAACCCCTACGCAAACTCAGTTCAAACGGCTGTGAAATGGTCCCATTGCTCCTTGGAAACCTGAAACACAACCGGGATGAAGTGGGAACGCTCAGAGATGCCTCCAGCAAAAGGGGGTGACACTCACATCCCAAACGAGCAGCTGGCTGTCACACGGACGAGGGGGAGGAAAGCCTGGCTGAGGATAGAGATGTGAATCCCAGAGCATCCCCAAGGATCTTTCTTGGGCCTTGCTCTGCCTCCTGGGACCTGCACGTGGAGGGGTAAGCTGGGGGGGGGTCAGCAGCGACTACCTGGGGAGTGGGACGACACCATGCTGGTGGGTGCAGCACGGGGCACCCTGGGAGACACGAGGCAGGAGACTGTGGTCCAGAGAGATGCCTCTCCATCCCTCTGCTGCCTTGTCCCTGGCATACACAAACACCCATGTGTTTCATAGCCTGAGGAAGCCCCCCGGCACCTTGGGAACCCTCTGCAGTGCGGGCATCACAGCCGCCGACTTGCAGCGCTGAAGCTGCCAGCCAGGTGGGTCTCGGGGGTCCAAGAGCTGCCTCCAGCCCCGCAGCCTGGGCTGCCCTTCCCTCCTTCCCAACCACTTTCCCCCTCCCGCACCCTGGATTGAGCGATGCCAGAGACACTGCCGCCATGCCGCAGTCACCCCCGCCTCGCTGGGTGACACCGCGCTCCGGCAGCACGAGCCATTGCACCAGCCCACGCTGCCACCCCGGCACTGCTCTGACCCCGAGCTGCTGCCGTCGCTTCCCGAGGCGTCTGCGGGCTAGTAACGTCAGGGCGTGTGGAGCTGATGCAATGCCTCCGTCGCTCCATCCCCGGTACGCGGTGCAGCGCCTCGCACGTCCCAGGCTTTCTCCAGCCCCTGCCAGAGCGGATCATATATTGTCAATCCTTCCTTAAATTTGCAGTGGAAGAGTCTCATGAAACAGAACAGAAAAGTCCATGCTGAAGCACTCCCCCACTTCTCTTTTTATAACAACCGTATCTGGTGCTCTGGGATGTACACCGTGAACGACGACGATGGAAAAATCCCAGGGTATTTTTACACTCTTAGTCTTTGCTTTATCTGGAGCCGTCTGGCAAATGCTTCCCTCCTGTCTGTGGTCAATACCGCAGCCGCTGGTTGCGCTGCACTTCGTGCCTTTATTCCTCTTACCGGCTGCGTAGCACCGTCTGGTTTTGAGATCAGCATCCACAGACCCATCCTGCCGGCTCGGGCACGGTGACAAGACGGCAGACGTCTTCTCGCCTCCTGGGGACTCAGGGTGGAAACACCCGCAGCAGAGAGGGGACCCCTCTGGCTTTTTGCAGAGCCTTGCAGACCCACGGCATTCTGTTTGTCCTCTCCATCCTCTTTGTAACTCCCTCTCTTCTCCTCTTCCTCACAAATATTCCTGGGGTTCATAGGGCAGCTCAGTGCCATGGGGCTGTCTTTCCACAAGAGGCAGTGGCCGAGTTCTCGGTCCTCCATGCCGGAGGGGCTGGGTGCTAGGCGCTGTACGAACATGAAGGCACAAGTCACCGTGCGAGAGAGTTTTACCATATTAAAAAGGCAAGTGACATATGGAAGGTGAGGGGAGGAAGCTGTAATCAACTCTATACCATTTTTATATACACACTTCTGCCTTTTCGTTCAATAATTATAAATAGATCAAGTAAGTGCCAACAGTCCCCATCTGCCCCGCAAGACATGATCCGCTGACCAGCTTCTCTCTCCAAAAGAGGATTTTATTAACGTGCCTCTGCCCAGTTTATATTTTGGGGTGGAGTGAGAAGGGGGGATTTTTTCCCCCCTGTGAAGCTCTGGAGCCTGGGGATGGGTAATATGAAAACAAAACAAAATGATTTGAAGTTAAACTATCTCAGTGTGTGACTCAGAGCTATTCATAGCTCCCTGAAGCCAGCTGCAGCAACGGAGCCAGAAGGATTCTGCCCGTATTATTATTCCAATTACCATCTGAATTAAAAGTTTGAGCAGTGATCAGCCCACATACTGACGGGAGGGGGAGAGAAGAAAGCGAAAAGAGAAGGAGAGAAAGAGAGAGAGGGAGAAAAAACAGATAAAAATGGGATCCACACGAAGGTCCCCGGGATGACAAAGTCGGGAAGAGGCATGGAAAGGCGACAGCATCACCTCCTGCCTGCTCCCACACCACCCTCCCCATCCCTGCTCTGGCCGCACCGTCCGGGCAATGGCACTGCAAGAGCGGCCACCCGCACCCCGGGATCCCAGCGGAGATGGGGGGTACCCCACGGCGGGGCTGGTGGGACTGGCACAGGCACTCACCCACTCTTCTCTGGCCAAAATGGGGCTGGGGGGACAAGAGGCTGGGGGGTGGCTAAGCAGGAGCATAAGGAGAGGATGCTGCTGGGGAGAAGTCCCCACTTTTTCTTGTCGCGTGAGGTAGGTGGGTGTTGTTCTTTGTGGCTGGCATCACAGGGAAAATTAAATGCTCAGAATGTCCCTCGCCTTCCCTGGGTGGTGTTCTTGGCCAAAAAGGAGCCAGGCTTTTGTGGCAGCCAGGGTGCAGACCGCATCCCACCTGCTCCCGAAGAAGTGCTGGGGCTGATGCACGCCCCAGCAGCTGTCCTGCCAAAACGGTGGACTAGACCCCAAAGGGTTCATGCAAAACCCGCAAGAGCTGAAAAACCGAAGGCACTGGGGTGTCCCTGAGGTCCCCATGTCCTGTGAGGCAGCGGTGCGGCTCAGGTCACTTCCTCCTGCTTCCCAGTACGACTGCACCAGCAAAAAAAAGCATGTCCCCTAACCCACCCAACCCCAGGAGCTCCCTTCGCTGAGCACCCTGCCCTGCGGGAGCCTTGCCAAAATGCCATCCCCAGCAGTGTCCCTGCACCTCGGCATCTCCCCAGCACAGAGCCCCTCCTGAGCCCGTGCCAGCCTGGCCAGGCCGGCTGCCCTTCCTGATGGTTTTTGGCTAGTCAGGGACAAGGATCGTTATCGGTGCACAGCAAAAACGGGGTGAGGGTGGCTCACGTCATCTGCCTGCCCGCTGCGGTTGCGCTCCTGACAGGTCAGGGACGATCTGCCGGTGCTTCTGCAGAGCACCCAGCAAGGCAGGCGCCTGCAAATGGGTTATGAACGATAACAGCAGCGATGGCAGCGAAGGGCGAGCAATACCCAGGGCAAAGCCTGCTCTGCGCCAAGCCCCCGACGGAGAGATGCTGCAGCCGCTGCTCCGCGCCCGGCTGCTGCACAAGGGCTGAGTTCCCAGCCCGGCCTGGTTGCTCAGTGCTAACCCATCAGCCATAGGGAGAAAAAAATTTTCCCCCAAAACCCTTGTCGCTACTCTAACACGGAGCCCAGCGGAGCCACCAGCCTTCTGAGGGGGGGGTCCCAGCTTCTCCCTTTCAGTCACGCCTGCTAGGCACCAGAAACAGAGCTGAGGGAGCATCCCAGGTAAGCTGCAAAACCACACTCCTGCCAAGAGCGGATCGACTATTTCACTACAAGTCTGCTGACTTGCTTGGTCCAGTTAACCAAATGCACCTGAAAGACATCAAGCCTAAGTGCTGCCTGACGCCGGCGGTACGGAGGACCGTCGGCCTCTCCTTCCCCTGCCCCCTTGCTCCAAGGGGAAAAGGGTGCAAAGCGGGACACGGCGAAACGTTTGCACGCTGCTACGCCTGCGATATCCCCCCCCCACCCCGCCGCCATCATTACGGGTTGCAGAACATCCCTGCTCCTCCGGGCTGTGATGCTCGCTCCCGCTGGCACCCTGCCTGCTCACCTGCCTCTGGCTCACTGGCGCTGGGGGCTGCCCGCAGCTTCTGCCTGGTCGCCTTCTCCCCCCCCCCCAGGCACAAGGTGCTTTCTTGGTGGTGGGAACGCCAGGAGACAGGAGAGGAGAGGACTTCTGGGGACGCTGGGTCTAGTCCCATGGCAGGCACCGCCTCTTCGTAAT